CCAGGCTGTTATCCACTGTGTCTTTTAAAATAACATGACTATATTTATAATGACTAACATTTTAAACAGTCGATGAGGAAGTCAGTAATGATTAAGGTGTAATTCAACGTCATCGCCGTTTGCGGCTTTATCTCTTATCTAAGAATTTTTTTGTTGTTGATTGCTTCATTTATGATGACTAAATTCACCGCCAACGTGCAGGTTTAAGACTACATGCTTCCCGTTTCACTAACATCTTCACCCGTCATCCATTCCATATCGCCGTTTGGTTTCGCAAGAGTTGACTGAAGATGAAAGAAAATCAGAGTAGAAGTGTCGATGACGTGAATTTGTTTACAGCTCGCCAGGAAGTTACCCGCATACTTGATTTCATGACCTTCCTCTGCGGCAGAAATGGAATGAGACATGCAGAATCCAGTTATGAAACTGCAACGGACTGCCACTAACTGTCTTATAATTTAGAGTGGCGCCTTCTGTAGTATGTCCCTTATGCGTAGCCCTTTTCATCCGCAGGTTCAACCATTGAAATCATTAGGGTTGGTTGCGCTTAGTCTATGTCCTTGTCTTTGGTGGCGTGAATTTGTTTAAGGCGGCCCTCAACTTGTTAGGAAGTGAGCCAGGCACTTGATTTGATGTCTGTCCTCTGCGGCACATATGGAATGAGACATTCAGTTATGAAACTGAAACGGTCTGTCGCTGACTGTTCTAATTTCGTGTTGCACCTTCTGTAACATGTTCGTCATGCGGACTCTTCTTCATCCATTGGTTCAACGGTTGAGATCTGCTAATCATTATCCGTTTGTTCCATCGTTGTGGTCTTTTGGGTCGTGCGCGTTTCGTGTGGGTCCTTGTCTACGACCTTTCCGACCAGAGTGGGCCTACTAGGAGTTTAAAAATCCCAACGGCATCGTTCTCATTTACTGGACATCGCAGGTTCCTCTACCACGACAAGAAGCGACCACCAGAGGTACGTACATATAAACGTACACACACATATATATTTTACACTGGATGTCGTAGTAAACAGTTCGTCATCAAATGTTATTTTAGTAACAATAATAAAACCAAAACAATAAATAAGAAAAGAATTAAAATATAAAATTATCAAATATACGAGAACATTTTTATTATTCTCGTCGTTAAACTATTTGAAAAAAAAAAGATGTAATTAAAATTGTACAAAAATAATAATGGTTGATAATGATCCATCTACCAGAACGTAAATACAAAAAAGATGAAAGGTTGGCAACATATCATGTAATAAAAAATGAAGATGAAAGTAAATGCTAGTCAAAGTTTAGTAGTAATGGTTGGCAATCCTTTATCGATTAAGAAACATGAAATTAAATATATATCCAAATTAATAATAATTGTTGACGATGTTTCGTTCATTTGAAAGGAAGTTGAAAATAGGTACTCGATATCTGCATATGTCTCTGAGATGAGGCATTATGATTACTCGCATTATTCGGACTGTTATCCTTTTCTTCATTGCCATATTCACAACGTTTCGGCCGTTGTACGCCCCGGCCTTCTTCAGGATCTGCCTATATCTGTGAGATGAGGCATTATGTTTACTCGCAGTATTTACATTACTTGGACTGTTATCTTCATCTTCACTGCCATATTCACAACGTTTCGGCCGTTTTAGTCTCTGGCCTTCTGAGGGGTAATTGGAATTTCGAACCGAACTCTTTATTTCGTCCACCGCAGTAGATTGTTCTAGTTCCATGTGTCATGACTCTTTCGGATGTCTCAATTATTTCCCTTTAATTCAACTCCACAAGTTTTGCTGTGGCCTGGTATTGAACTCACAATTCTTTGGATCTAGGCACTGGATCTAACCAACGTCTTTATCCACTGGAGCATGTGTCCTTGAAGATGAGGATAACAGTCCGAATAATATAAATAATGCAATTAATAGATACTCGGTAATACCATGGACCGTACATGTGAGCTACGACGAACTTTTAGGGAAAATAGAAAAAAAAAAGAACACTTATACTTAACATCAGGTAAATACAGTTGATATTTCTTGAGCAAATAAGGAGGAAAGAGAGCTTAGAAAATTTGATATTCACAGAACAGATTGAAGACAAGAGAAACAGAGGAAAACAACTCATAATTTTATCTAGTAAGCTTGTTTAAATGGATGACAGAACAGAGTTTAGGAGAGATAAGAAAACGGCAATATTTATTAAGAGCTACAAAGGATAGGAAATTTTGGAGACCCCTAATTTCTAACGTCCTGAAGGAACACGGCACAAAAGAGGAGACGAATTACTAATAATGCTTAATCTATTAAAAAAGTAAAGTAAATATTAGTCAATATTAATGAATTGAATACTTCATCAAATAGAAAAACTTAAGCGTTCTACTGGATAGGCGGAAGGATCTCATCATTTTACGTTTGAATTGGCTAGATGTAACCGTAAGTTCTATGTTAAAAGTTTCTTCTATCGCTCTTTTCGCTTCTGGGATACTCGGACATTTGTCTGACAGACATTTGGCTAAGGGACATTTCGCCGAACGGACATTTGGCCGACGGACATTTAACTGAATAGACATTTAGCTGAAAATCTAGTGGCGTACTTACATGTATATCACACTCTTTATCATAATGTGCTACATATATTTATATTTATTTACTGTATTAATTTATAATTCTTCGTTTTTGTACAGACGTTTTAAAAAAATCCATTCTGTATATATTATATTTTACTTCAAATATTACTGTAAGATGATAAGTATTTTGAGAAGAAGCACATTTTACTACAGCGAAAATGTTAAGCTTAAGATCTTTCAATTTCGCTTTTAATGACCATTATCTTAAAGGTATGAACTAGCTTTTACCTTATTGTTAAATAAGAATTTTGTGATGTCAGACAGAATTCATAGTTTTCACTGCAGATCAGAATGTGAGCTGGAAAATGAGTAAAAGTTTGAAAAACAAACCGAATCATGTGAGACAATTCAGCCCTGGGTATGAGGAAAAACTACCTCCAGTAGTAAGGCCTCTGGTCGGGAGTTTGGAGGTGTTGAGGTGTGTGGAATCACTTCTTAATTGCTGTTACTTCCAAGTCACATCTAACCCGGGGTGATAGTGCCTGTTAGGGTTCCACCTATGGCTAAATAGTCACCACCACACACACACAAAAAAAAAAAAAAAATAAAAAAAATAAGAATAAATAAATAAAAAATGAAAGTATAAAATACCAGCAATTCCTTTTTATATAAAAAAAATACCAAAAGTACATATTTATAATGAAATTCCCAACAGCGCATCTTATCTGTGAGGGTGGTGGCGTGTAATTTTATTCAATGTATTGAACAATTCTACAGCTTGAAGCTGTAGAATTGTTCAAGTTGTTTAGATTTCAGCATTGGATAGTCCATGGAGGTTGATGTGCCGCTCAGCAAAATCAACGAACCAACCAAGCAACATGAAAGAACCATTTGATAACGTTAATCCATATAATATCCTACAATTTCTTAAAGAAATCAAACTGTATTAAAAATATAGCAAAACTACAATATAAAACACACATATCAACGCCTCTAGTAATCATGACCACACAAACATGTATATACACAAAAGCTGAGTATCGTCTACCATGTATTCAATTGTGAAAGCAGAATGACATATATGTAATATTTTTATTACTTCAAAGCTCCCCACAAAATTAAATTTAGACATTAAATAATAATAACTTTATATGCCGTTAAAAAACGTAAGATTACTATGGAACAGGAGCTATTATTGACTCCAGTAAGCGAAAATGATTCGTGATTATAACGAAATAATGGAATAACTCCCTAGTAACTTGTAGATATCAATCAATTTTATTTTTAACTTTTTGTTCGTAAAATCGATTGTAAAGTGGATCTTTTTAAAATATTATTTGTTTTAAAGGTTGGATGTTTCTCTATTAATTTTCTGGTATTCCTGTAAAACGGGGATCCAAAAGATGTATTGCATGTCTAAAATAAATTCTATGGGACTTATTTCAGAATTAAAAGACTACACCAGCATTATATTGGACAATTATTTCATACCTGTTAAGCACTTACTACACTACCTATGATATCTAGTGCCTAATATAAATGGAAAACCGTACATAATTTGTAGACATTTCTTTTTTATTTATTCCATGTCTAATCTCAAATGTCTCGGCTTTGTTAAATGATGCAAATTAGAATGTATCTTTTAAGTTTTTGCACTCTTCCACAGAATGACATTTTCATTTCCATTTTTCTAAAGACTCGAACGACAGAGTCGCAAATCTTTCACGCCATCAAATAACATTCAGAACCTTTATTAGCATACATATTGATCAAATGGCCACCAATCAAACAGCAACAGCAAAGATGCTACCGACCGACGGAAATTCATCAAGCAATTCCCATTACTATCCAATAATAGATGGCGAGCGAAATATCCGATTTATTTCTTTTTGTTGGAATGTTTATTTTAGTTTGACTCATTCCATACAGAACGGTTTGGTAGGAGTTGGTAAGAGTTGGGACTGAAGGCACAAAATGACTTTATAGTGTTTATTTGTCTGAGAAGTGATGGACGGAAATAAATCTACTACGAACATCTTGGGTGCCATCAATTGCCAGAGATTCGTATGAGTTTTCAGCTCATATATTTATATTAACGTAGAAGATTCGAAATATATAATGTAAATGAGAGAGTTCTTTCTATCTATCTATCTATCTATCTATCTATCTATCTATCTATCTATGTTTTTCTGTTCTATCTATCTATATTTTTCTGTTTTTTTCTATGTAAGTATATTCATATCTATCTAGCAAGCTATCAAAGTCTGTTCGTATCTATATCTATCTATCTATCTATCTATCTATCTATCTATCTATCTATCTTTTCATTGTATGTATGTATGCATGCATGCATGCATCTATCTATCTATCTATCTATCTATCTATCTATCTATCTATCTATCTATCTAGTTAGCTAGCTATATACCTAGCTATCTATGTCTGTTCGTATCTATCTATCTATCTATCTATCTATCTATCTATCTATCTATATTTTTCTGTTCTATCTATCGATATTTTTCTGTTTTTTCTATGTAAGTATATTCATATCTATCTAGCAAGATATCTAAGTCTGTTTGTATCTATCTATCTATCTATCTATCTATCTATCTATCTATCTATCTATCTTTTCATTGTATGTATGCATGCATGCATGCATCTATCTATCTATCATATCTATCTATCTATCTATCTATCTATCTATCTATCTAGTTACCTAGCATATATACCTAGCTATCTATGTCTCATTCGTATCTATCTATATCATCTTTATCTATTCTATCTATCTATCTATTATTCATCTATATTTTCATTTTTCTAGTATATTATCTATCTAACAGGCTATCTCTGTTTTGCATTCATCTATCTATCATCTATCTATCTATTTTTCATTTTTTTATCTAAAGCATGCATGTATATTCATATCTATCTAACAGGCTATCTAAGTCTGTTCTATCTATCACTATCTAGTTCTATCTATTCTAGCTATCATCTATCATCATTCATTCATCTATCTATCTATGTTTTTCTGTTCTATCTCATCTATTATCTATATTTTTTTGTTTTTTCTATGTAAGTATATTCATATCTATCTATCTATCTATCTATCTATCTATCTATCTATCTATCTATCTATCTATCTATGTTTTTCTGTTCTATCTATCTATCTATCTATCTATCTATCTATCTATCTATCTATCTATCTATTATCTATCTATCTATCTTTTTCGGAGGATCTAATTGCCAAAACGTGCCAGCATACAAAAGTCATTAGCACCGTTGTCTCGACCCACAACCAAACATCATCTTCCGGCGAACATTTATTACGGATTTTGAATGATTGATTCCAGTGGCTGAACTGCTGTGCAACGTCTAATGATGACTTCTAGACTCTTTCCTGAACGATGTAAAAAATATTAATAATGAAAACCCTGAAAAGATGTGAATGTTGAGAATACTAAGAGAAACAATGGAATTTAAGGAGAATAGAAAACTATAAATAAACTATTGCAGTCAACTAGAAAGTGACAATTAAAATTACACATGACGAAAGAGAGTTTGTAGAATTTAGCACTCATTGAACATAGTGAAGTTAGAGAATCAGGAGAAAAAGAACAGAAAACTATTTGCTGATGGATGGATGAACAACTATAAAGAACAAAAGTGTACAGCAGAAATATCTCTCAGGAATACCACTTACTCTCTTACCATTATGTGGGAGGTATTTCTGGGAGGTATTCTGTCACACCCTGTATAAGAGAGAGTGAAAAAAAAAGAAAGAAAGATTAATTAATATCCATATATAAATATATAGATATATATTCAAACAACAAATTCAAACTACAGATCCTCGAAGCAATATACATTAAAAACTTAAAACCGGCACTTAATAGAATCAACTCCGAATACTATAGTAATGTTCTGAAATGTCTATAAAAAGAACAGTTTTTTCTCGCTTTAATGCGCGCAATGACGTGGCAACAGAGAAGAAAAAAATTCCATAGAGGATATTTTTTCACGTTCTAATGAACGCTAAGCATGACTGTCAACCGTTGCATTTAAAAGCAAAAAGAAAAAATACAGTAATAGATAACAAAAAAAAAGTTTTGTATTACTATTTGCACCCGTGAATAATAAAATAAGCAGACATAATGTCTGTAATTTATTTAACCAGACATGCCTAAAAGAGAATTTGCTGCCTAAATACATGCATATATATATATATATATATATATATATATATATATATATATATATATATATATATATATAGAGAGAGAGAGAGAGAGATAGATAGAAAAACAGAGGGAACGAGAGTTGGTGTTTGATGATAAAGAATGAAAGAAAAAAAAAAGAGAAAATTGTAGAGAAGGAAGATGGGTAAGACTAAAAAGGAAACAAAATAAATGAGAGAAAGAATTAAATACAAGAAAATGAAGGAAAGAACGAACAGAAAGAAAGGGGAACATAAAGAAAGAAAGAAAGAAAGAAAGAAAGAAAAGTGCACAAAAATTAAAAAAGAAGATAATTATATTTAGGAAACAAGAAAAATATATTGAATGAGGCATGAATAAAATAAGAAAGAAAGAAAGAAAGAGAGAAAGACAAAAAAGAAAAAAAGACGAGAAAGAAAGAAAGAAAGAAAGAAAGAAAGAAAAAAAACCGCGAAAAAATTAAGAAAGAAAGAGCATTATATTTTCGGAAGGAGAAAAATACATTGAAAGAGATATGAATAAAATAAGAAAGAAAGACGAGAAAGAAAAAGAAAGAAAAAAGAAAGGAAGAAAGAAAAGAAAGAAAGGAATAATGAAGGAAAGAAGGAAAAGTGCGGAAGAATTAAGAAAGTATATTACATTTTCGGAAGGAGAAAATCCATTGGAAAAAAAGGTAAGAAAGTAGGAAACAACAGGAAAAAGAAGGTAATGAAGAAGGAAAGAACAGCAAAAAGAAGGCAAGAAAGAAGGAACGAATAGGAAAAAGAAGTTAAGAAAGAAGGAAAGAATAGGAAAAAGAAGTTAAGAAAGAAGGAAAGAACAGGAAAAAGAAGTTAAGAAAGAAGGAAAGAACAAGAAAAAGAAGGCAAGAAAGAAGGAAAGAATAGGAAAAAGAAGTTAAGAAAGAAGGAAAGAATAGGAAAAAGAAGTTAAGAAAGAAGGAAAGAACAGGAAAAAGAAGTTAAGAAAGAAGGAAAGAACAGGAAAAAGAAGGCAAGAAAGAAGGAAAGAATAGGAAAAAGAAGTTAAGAAAGAAGGAAAGAACAGGAAAAAGAAGGCAAGAAAGAAGGAAAGAATAGGAAAAAGAAGTTAAGAAAGAAGGAAAGAATAGGAAAAAGAAGTTAAGAAAGAAGGAAAGAATAGGAAAAAGAAGTTAAGAAAGAAGGAAAGAACAGGAAAAAGAAGTTAAGAAAGAAGGAAAGAACAGGAAAAAGAAGTTAAGAAAGAAGGAAAGAACAAGAAAAAGAAGGCAAGAAAGAAGGAAAGAATAGGAAAAAGAAGTTAAGAAAGAAGGAAAGAATAGGAAAAAGAAGTTAAGACAAAGGAAAGAACAGGAAAAAGAAGTTAAGAAAGAAGGAAAGAACAGGAAAAAGAAGGCAAGAAAGAAGGAAAGAATAGGAAAAAGAAGTTAAGAAAGAAGGAAAGAATAGGAAAAAGAAGTTAAGAAAGAAGGAAAGAACAGGAAAAAGAATGCAAGAAAGAAGGGAAGAACAGGAAAAAGAAGGCAAGAAAGAAGGGAAGAACAGTATAAAGAAGGTAAGAAAGAAGGAAAGAACAGTAAAAATAAGTTAAGTGAGAAGGAAATAATAAGAAAATGATAGACTGAATGAAACATAAAATAGAATAAGAAAACACAGGCAAGTAAACAAATGAATAATAAAAATGGAAATGAGAAATAATCTGTGCAAAACAAAAAGATTGTAAGAATAAATGTATTTCAAGGTAATGTCCTGCTAGGATGTAGGCGATCATCACTCTCCATAGATGCCCTATCTCTGAATTGCAATGCATCCTTGGAAAAAAAAAAAAAAAAACTGGAGTGGTTTCCTGTTGTCTTCTCCACGGTTTGGAATTCAGAATTGTGCTTCTCTTGCACTAGTTCAAATCTAGTGAAACCAGTCTACTCTGATATTTGAACGATAGCTGCTAGGGAGAAGAACAAACAGATTCCTGTCTTCCTCAAGGGCATTTTTGCGAAAGTGAACGCAACAGACGTGTCCAGAATTTGGACTTAGCTCTCGGATAACAATTTTCATGTCAATATCCGTTAGATGATCTGTTGTGAAGCACTGTAAATATTTGCAAGAAAGAAAGAAAGAAAAAAAACTAATGAAATATGGAATAAAACAGAACGAAAGTCACCTTCTATAGTGAAATAGTTGCGAAGGAAAGAGGAAGAATAAGATTTTAATGTAGTAAATAAGTTATTGATAAATGAATAAAAAGAAGAGAAAGAAAATAAAAGAAGCAAAGGAAAAAAAACGAGAAAGCAAGAAAAAGAGAAAGAAAGCAAAATAGAAAGAAAAAAGAGAAAGAAAAAAGAAACAAGGAAAAAAAGAAAGAAAGAAAAAGAGAATGAAGGAAAAAGAGAAAGAAAGCAAAATAGAAAGAAAGAAAAAGCGAAAGAACGAAGAAGTGAAAGAAAAAAGAGAATTGAAGCAAAAAGAGAAAGAACAAAGAGAGAAAAAAAAAGCGAAAGAAAGAAAAAAGAAAGGAATATAGAAAGAGAGAAAACATAGAAAGAAAGACAAAGAGAAAGAAAGACAAAGAGAAAGCAAGAAAAAGAGAAAAAACGAGAAAGAAAAGTGAAAGAAAGCAAGAAGAGAAAGTAAGCAAAAAGAGATAGAAAGAAAAGAGTAAGAAAAAAGAAAGAAAGAAAAGGAAAAGAAAGAAAAAGAGAAAGAAAGAAGAAAGAAAAAAGAGAAAAAACATAGAAAGGAAGAAAACGGGAAAGAAAGAAAAAGAGAAAGAAAATAGAAAGAAAGAAAAAAGAAAAAGAAAAAGAAAAAGAGAAAGAAAAAAGAGAAAAAAAAAGAGAAAGAAAGAAATAGAAAAAAGCTAGGAAGAAAACAGAAAGAATTACAAAAATGCGAGGGAAGAAGCCCGTGACTGGATTAAAGATTAAAGAAGAATACCAAAATAAAGAATAGGATGAATGAAAGCAAAAAGAAGAATAGAAAAAATAATTCAATGAATGAAAGTCTAAAAATAGATGTAAATTTGATTTCAGTGGGATAGAAAGAAAGATCCAGTGAAAGTAAAATAAGGAAATATGTCTGGAATGAAAAAGAAAAATATTATAAAGAAACGGAGACTTGTTAGCCAAGAGAGATAGACTCTTCCAGTGATACGTACGTGAAAGCAAAACACGTTCACAACGTCGTCAAAAAAGGAAAAAGAAAACAAAAAAACGATGAGACAATCAATGAGAAAGCTACGTTTTTTTTTATTATTATTAATATTGTTGGGCCCAGCGCGGGTGCTAAGTATGTATAAAAATATCCAGAATGAATCCGTGTAAAATAAAAAAGAAATAACAAAAGACATAACATCATATAAGGCAACACCAAAAAAAAAAATGATGAAAGAAAACGAAAAGGAAGAAAGAAAAAGAAAAAGAAAAAAAATTTTATTTTTCTAAACTGATGTGAAATCCAAATGCGTTTTATGGCCGACTTTTTTTTTTTTTTACTTCACAATTTTGTTTTGTTTTTGTAATTATAGAAAGTTTCATCTGTTGAGATGATTTTTTTTTATCTAGGCTGGTAACGAAAATAATAACATTCCAATTAAAGAAAAGTTTAGAGAATACCAAAAATAAATCCGAAAAAGTCACACCCAAATTCGTACGAACATAGGCATACGCGCATACACAAAAATATGACAAACAATAACAACAAACACGCACATGGTTACATTCAAGAGAGAAATGGATACACATCCTATCTTTGAATTTCAACAATCAAATGCGTATGTATATAGACAACAGCACACATATACATACATATGTCAAGTCCCATACTGTCCACATATGTTTATGTTTGTGTGAGCTCCGGCGGGCAAGCGCGTGTGTATGTGTGCCTGCGTACCTCAATGGGTGTACGGGCATGCATGTATGTTTGCGTTAGGATGAATGACATCACGACGACGATTTCCCCTCCCAGTTCCATAATAACACCAATACACAAAATCCAAAATTTAAAAAAAATAATCATTTTTTCTGACGATCGCAAAAGCGTGAAACCC